GCGTCGTATTTTCAACTCTCTTCTCGGTGTTTGGAAATGTGGTCAAACACGGTCTTTCATGTTTGATATAGCACTTCAAGCCCTCGTTTTCCTCCCTTTCCTCTGAGGAACTCGTTTGTCTAATTGTCTACCATAATTCTGCAATTACCCCGACAGTGCAGTACACAGGAGTGTGGGACGTTCATCTCTCAGGCAATCCAGTCCTAGCTATTCTTTAGTAGTTCGCTCTAATTCATTCATTACGCCCAGGAAATGGTACTTCGGTCTCTTTTTATCTGTCGCATTGGTGCACGGTGACACATAAAGAGACGATAGGCATTCAAGCAGGAATTTGTGGGTAACAAAGCTGCGGTTCCTAGTTGGAGTACGCGAGGCCATGCAAGTAGAAAGCACTCGGTAGAGGTTTATTTCTCTTTGTTCTTCCTTTATGTACCATGGCCCAAAAAGGTCGACTGCGCTGTGCGTTAATGGGGCCACTTGCTCAAGTTGATGTGTTGGAAGGCTAGCCATCTTCTGCTGTGAGCAGCTAATCTCGGTTTCCAACAAATAACGTCAAGTTTTTTTGATACATTATGTACGATGGTAGAAGCGTCCTTTAACATCTAAAAGCCAGATGCGCGGATTTCAGCGTGATATTTTAATCGATCGTAATCACAGCCTGACCGCTGATGAAAGTGACGAATTGTCAGCTCTGTCAAGTGCGATCTCTTCGGCAATATTGCGTGATGCTTTACGACGTTTGACACTTCCGCTTGAATTGTCCTCCAACTCGCAAAATGCAACCTTTGTCAAGGATTGGGTCCAGGCGGTTTACTGGACTAATCTCTTAGTTGAGGATGCACTGCTGGGTTTACCTCTCGCTGCAGAACTCTTGGCATGTGTCTACTGCAAGGACGCAGAGTGTAAGCCATTACAGGAAGTATAGACTTTTCTTCCACGGCAATCCTTCTTCATATGTCAGCACTTCGCACAGGGCGTTAGACTTAATTCACAGCTTTACTGTACGACGATCGAAGATGACTTGAAATCAAACTATCTTAAATTTCAACTCCACGCGATAGAATATGGTAAGACCGTTTCTAAAACTCCAAGAAGCCAGTATGCTCTAGATAATTCACTACTTTAATTACTTGCCTAAAATCACGCTTACCCTTAAGGGTCCCTGTCCATAAA